ACAATCAATGATGGCTTAAAACACTCGTACAGTTCAATAGTATAAAGTGAAGTACGTTTCACATCTATAACTATTGTAGTTTTCGCATAAACGCCAAAAAACCTGGCCATATGCCCACTTTGGCCACGCATTTTATATGGCCAAAAATGACGGGCATTGTGCCCGCAATAATGGCAAATGCCCGCAATCTGGAATAAATGGCCGAACACTAATTGTGAGTTGAGTTTTAGTGAAGGAATGCGTTGTTGTTATGACTGAACGCCTAAACCAGTGATCGAGTGATCCATTGCTCGACTCAGACATCGATTTGTGTCCTAATCTTTGAATCCAATCCATTGTCCAAACCATTCACACCATTGATACGAGACATGTCTTCCACTACTGAACACATCAACGATGAGTCAATTGGTGCCAAAAGTGATGCTCACGTCAGACAAGAATCTCGAGTGGATTCTCGTCGCGAAGAATATGCGGAAAAACAGGGAACAAGTGGTGAGTGGAAGAACTCCCACTACAAGAGTCAGATTCCGAGGTATACGCCATCGACTCGCGAACGAAGACATTCGGAGAACTCGTCGGCGGCGATGACCGGGAAGAGAGGCGAGTGGAACGGATCCGTCAATTGTCACAGCGGTTGTCACATCCATGGCATCCGTTCGCCAACTAATATGCTTTTCTATGAGATGTTGCAGACTATGAGTCTCACTGACCGACAAGTTCCCGATCAGATCCGTGCCATCCATAAGAACCACGTCTGCAGTAATGTCGGCAAAAGTCGTTCCGTTCCCACATCTAAGATGCCATCTTCTATGACCACTCCATTGTCCACTCCATCCACTCCTACGGACTCGCGAAGAATGCCTTTTCATCGAAATACGTCGAGTCAGACGTCCTCTCCTTCTCGAGAAACCAAGACTTCGTTCTCTACGACTCGACACACAAACCAAAGGTAAGTCTTGTTTTCATTTGAAATTCAATCAAATCTAGTTATGAATCATTACTTTTGTTAACATATAATGAATGCATTTATTAATTGCTATTTTGAATGACAGGCCATTTGCCGAATACATGCCTTTATGTGAACTTCAAAAAGGGCTTCAAAAGGGAGATATCGAACTTCATTAACAACTGATTAACTACCTATGTAACTATCATTAACTTTAACAAAACTAACAATCCCTCAGAATGCATATTTGGGAGCGTTAATATGCCTGCGGATGTATTCGCGTGGCCATTAGAAGGGTATTCTCACAGCTTTTACTAATTTATTAATGTTTTGAGTTAACCCTTTGACTGATTGTTGATTTGGTTGTGATTTAAGTAATTTTCGTTTATTGTTTATTTGCCACAAAAGTCAGTCATCAGTAATTCAATCATTGATTTGTAGTCTCAAAAGTTTTGATAACTAATACGAGTGAACATTATTTGAAATCTTTTAAATGAATTGATTTACTCAAACATGAGATTTCAAATGTATTCATTCATATTAATACTGTTTCTAGTTTTTTGCCTTTATTTTCTCTATTAAAAGTATGTAAAGCATTATATAATGAAATTAATTGTAATGTGTGTGAAAGGGGGGCGGAATAGACATATACGTTGGAGGAATGACTGACCGGAACAGAGCCCTCAACGGTGACAGAGTGGCCGTCCATCTAAAACCGTTCAACGAGTGGAAGGTTTGTCCGCATTCTTCGAGAGAATTCATTAGTAACTTAATGTGTTGTGCATTGGATTAGGTTTTAGTGGACACAATTCGGTTGCATTGGGATGAATGGGGGCAACAATTTGATGAATTACTAGACAGAGGAAACCAATGGCCACGAGCGGACTCAACCCCTTCTACCAGTGCTCACACCTCTCACAGCAATGACATCAAAACTATTGACGAAAGCGACGAATGTTTAGAAGATAACGATTTAAACTGTGATTTAAATGATACTAAATTAGATTGGCCAATATGACTTGCGTGCCCACTATGGTTATATTCGTTTCCTTCATGACTTCGTTTACCTTTCTGTCCGTTTTTCTCTTCTGCAAGCGCTTTTTTCTTAGCGTTTTCACTACCGTTGCTCTTATTTAATGTTAAATCTCCGGAATGTATTAAAACAATGGCTCTGAAACCAGAAGTTTTAAATTCGCTGACAATAAGTATCGGTAATAAAGCGGACCCACGAAACACACCGTACAAACGGTCGGGTGTTTACGATGTGTTGGCAGAGAAGTTGGAAAGAATTCAAACTTTAAAGATGGAGTCTTTGCTTCGATTGACTTTTTGTGAAAGTTTTATTCAAAGAACGGGTCAAGTGGTGGCCATTTGTGAGGCCATCCATTCGCGTATCGCTGGCGGACGTCTCGCTCATATGAAAGAACGCAATCAGAATTGGGCGCTATTTATCCCAAACGACTCGCGTATGCCTCGACTGCGGATCCCAATGAATACCTGTCCCCCGGATTTTTTTCATCACTCGCAACACTACAGTCAAAGCCTATTTGTGGCACAATTGCACGAATGGAAGACAACCGATCACTTCCCCAGTGGTGTACTTCTCAAGCATTTGGGAAATTCTGGAGATATTGAGGCCGAAAGTGAAATGATTTTGACTGAAAATCAGATAGAATTCGACGAGTTTCCAAATGAGGCACTCTTTGGGTTACCAAACATTGTTGACGACGAGTGGAACGATTCCGGAAATCAATGGCATATTCCTGAGAGAGAATTGCAATACAGACGCGATTTCCGTAATGAGTGTGTCTTCACAATCGATCCGTCGACAGCCCGTGACTTAGACGACGCCCTTTCCGTCAAACGGCTAAATGACGGCAACTTAGAGATCGGTGTCCACATCGCAGACGTCTCTTATTTTGTCAAAGAAGGCATGCCTTTGGATGAGATCGCGAGAAGAAGAACCACTTCTGTATATTTAGTCCAAAAAGTGATACCAATGTTACCGCGAATTCTTTGCGAACGATTGTGTTCTTTGAATTCGGGAGAAGAAAAGCTCACTTTTTCTGTCGTTTGGATTATTGATAAAAGTGGCGATATTTTAGAGGAATGGTTCGGACGAACAATTATTAAGTCATGTATTAAATTGAGTTATGAATTGGCTCAAGACATGCTGGACCAGCCCAACAGGCAGTGGCAACCCTACGAATTGCCCACAATTCACGGCCGATGGTCTGCGCAACAAATATCCGAAAGCGTTAACCTTTTGAACGAAATTGCAGTGAAATTACGGAAACATCGTTTCGAAAGCGGAGCCCTAAAGATCGATAAACTGAAGTTACACTTCATTTTGGACAAGGAATCGGGCCTTCCGTCCGGTTTCACTCCTTATGTTTATAAAGATTCCAATCGATTGATCGAAGAGTTCATGTTATTGGCGAATATGGCGGTCGCGCACCGCATATACAAGAAGTTCGATGAGAAAGCATTCCTCCGATGCCATCCCCAGCCATCAGAGAATGGGATCAAAGACTTTAACTACTTTTGCAAATGCAATGGCTTTCAAGTGGACACTTCCACTTCGCTCACTCTTCAGCGCACATTAGAAGCGATTGTTAACAACGATGAGAACATATCGAGAGTTGTGGCCAACTTTCTATTGAAGGCTATGCAAATGGCCACCTATTGCTGTCCCGGAATGCAATCCAGTGGCCAGACGTTACACCACTACGCCCTCAATGTCCCACTTTATACACACTTCACATCTCCGATCAGACGATATGCCGATGTTATTGTTCATCGACTCCTATCGGCATCGCTTTCCTATACACCAGAAATTAGTGATTCGATGAAAGATTTGCACCGTTTGGCCAAAACATGTAATGACAAGAAGTTGAGCGCCCGATTGGCCAGTGAATCGAGTTCTCGACTCTTTCTCAACATATATGTCAAACATATCGGCAAAATGGAAACCAAAGGAATTGTAGTCCAAGTGTTTGACCATTCATTTGACGTTATGGTCATCAATTGTGGCACTATTTGTAGGGTATATTTGAATCAATTGCCACTTAAAAAGTTCACTTTTGAGACAACACATGGTAAAAATCAGCTCATTTTGGAGTGGACTGACAGCACGCGTAGTCCATTGACAATAACTGCGTGTCTTATGGTTGGCATACAGGTGTCCATCAATGAGGATGACATCACTAAACTAAACGTAATGTTTACCCCTTTTTCAATGATTAACAAATTAGTAATATTTTCTCTCCATATATAGGCTGTTCTCCGGCACCCGAATTGAAATATCGTACAAAAACTCAGTCTTTCAGCGATATATTGAAAAATCAATATTTGATTTATTACTCAATCTATTTATAATGAATTTATATTTAATATATTATGCATTCATTTTAAATATAATTAATTTAATTGTATATTTTAAGTCAGATTTGTTTTTTCCCATGAATTTGTTTTGAAAATAAATATATTTTCGTATCAATTATTGTTATTTATTTTTTCAATGAATGTTTTTATAAACAAAGTGTAAGTAAGGAAATGGATAGTAAATTACTACAAGTAATTTAATACTATTTAACAAATAAATAACTATTATTAATAGTCTATTAAAGGCACGAGTCATCCAATGCTCAAATTGCCTCACATTTGAGGGTCGAATATGTCTCACAAACAAAATTATTAAAAACGAGCCATAATTTCCAACAATAGTAATAATAAACAGATCGCAAATTGGGTATCAATTCAATTGATTAAAGCTTTCATTGAATGAATACAAATGGGATTTTATAGTAAAAGTATAATTTCATTAATGATAATAAAAGAGGAAGTAATGACATGTAGGCATTGGACTCAGAACTCGCTTTACAAATTCATCTATAATTTATTGATGGATAACACGAATCATGTCATGTAACTATTATTGTGAACATATGAACAAAAATGTACGTTTTGGGTATTGATTGTATGAAAGCGGATAATGAATCACATAATTTGATGTAATAATAACTCTCATTAAACAAAAATAATAAAATAGCAGTTCATATAACCCTAAATGATCTGTATATTGAGTTTAATTAGAATAAATGCCCAAAAATTAAAATTCAGTAAATATGTAAAAAATAAATTATAAAGTAATTTGTAATAAATTAAAAGTAAAACAATAATAAATGCTGTAATGAGTAAAATATTTGGAACATAATCTAAAATTGGACTAAAATTGATTGCTTATGAATTAAGATTCAGTGAAGGGAATACCCGACTGTTTGGGCGGCGCTAAGCCCTCAAAGTTAATTTTATCGCCGTATTTGGCCAGAAATAGGAGTGTGAAGACACCCAATAGGATACCTATATTCTGTAATAATAGCACTTTTAATGTCTCACTCATGCCTTGATGTGTGGCCCGATCGAGGGCTGCCGTGAGTTCGCCCATCATGTCTACCAGCGCTATGTATAAGAACATACCGCCGGCCAATGCGAACACATAGGGCGCCGCATCGGCCAAATCACCCAACAGTATGCCAAATGCGAGCCCCAAATAGCACGTACAGGCGGACACAAAATTATAGCCCAACGCCTCTCTCACTGTCATTCCAGAACTGATGAGGACTGCGAAGTCTCCCAATTCGTGCGGAAACTCTTCGCAAATAACAGCCACTGATATACTGATGCCTTCGAGAATACTCTGAGAGAATGCGGCGCCGATTGTAATGCCATCGATAAAGTTGTGGAGTCCGTCGCCGAAGATGATCATCCACGCGACGGTCGCGATCTCTACCCTCTGTTCGCCAGCTGTTCCGTGAGAGTGTCCGTGTCTTAGACTAAATGAATTGCTTCGACTCCTCTCTCTAGCGATTGTCTCAAAAACCAACGATTCTGAGCGACTGTCTGTCGACTCATTATCTATTGATTTATGTCTTTCGTTGTCTAAATCTCTGTCATGACTAGTAGTTTCCGGAATATTATTGAGACTATCGGTGCTCTTCACGACACCATTCTGTTTGTCGTAATCAAAATCTTTGAAGTAGACGTGTCTGTCATTCAATTCAAAGCTAATTAAATACAATTAATAAATTTGATTCAAATTCAAATACTTTTGTTGAGGAATAGGTCGATGAGGTTCTAACTCAGCGCTCGTACACGAAGGGACTGATTGGACATTGAGTTTGCGTTTGCGTCTAAACTCGACCACCATTTTCATGATTCTTTCGGACCAAAAGAATAAATAAATGCCACCAAAAATAATGAGCGCTTTCCAGAGGTAGGCGTGAGAGCCATCCCTCGTTAGGTTAAATGATTGAGGAATCAAATGAAATATTGCCGAACCCACTAAACTGCCGACCGCTAGGCCTTCAAACAGTGTTAACATCACATCGTATGTACTTTTGGCCAGAAGTGGTATAATAGCGACACCAATGAGGGAACAAAAGCTGACAATTGTTACAAAGAGTATACCGAATCCCCAGACGGCTCCAGAATTAGGCCGATTCAGTGCTTTGTAATGACTCTCTCGTTGTGCAATGCATTGGTGTTCTTGTATTTGAAAGAGTATTAATGGACACAATCTTACTATCGATTGACTTAACAATAGAGGAACCGGTTTAACATTTGGACTACCGATTAGTTCAATGAGTTGTTTAGCGGACTTACATCCAGTCGACGCCTCACATATGCTTCGGATCTTTTCGGACGATGTATTGGTCGCCCATTTGCTTATCATATGATTGTCTATATTATCGCAACTTCTTGTTGTCGTATCAATTGAGGCCAGAGATGAGGAATTAGTGATATGTTGTATCAGTTTATTGTCTTTTAAATTCTCGATAAACATTAATAATTTGGATTCAATATCACTGTCATCGATGGTCTCGTCGTCTTCTGTCAAATCAAACTTTCTTTCATCTCTTCTAATGTTTTGGAAGTAATTATATTTCCAAAGAAGAAAATAAGTTAACACTTCTATGTCTTCTAATGAGTTAAGCGTCACTTTCGGATCAATCGATACTTCACTGCAATTAACGTTCAAATATATTGAACTCAAAACCAATAGACTTATAATTGGTTTCATTTTCATTATTCCCAAAAAACTTATGAAATCGAAACCAAAATTATAAAAATAATATTTCTCTTCATTTCATATATCACTCGACAAAACCTATTGATAAATAAAATGAAATTAATTTTGAGAATTATACAAAAAAATTAACTGTTTTATGAATTGAAATCCAAGAAAACGCTGATAATTAATGACATGAAAAATACATGAAATAATTACAGCAAATGTTCACAAAAATGTAATTTAAAAGCAAAAACTCTTTCTTATCTCTGGTTTGATATCATGTTTTAAGTCAAGTCTAGAGTTTAACAACAATTCAATTATCACTTTATAAGCAATTAATTATCAATTATTTGTTATTACTATTAATATATCAAACATTAAATAAATAAAACATTAAATAAAAATATTTGTAATCAATTAAAGTGAAAATGATTGCAGATTTGCTTCAGATTTGGCTTAATTTCTAATTATATTTCTCACAATCTATTTGTATATTAAAAGTAAATTAAATATACATTTCGTTACAAATTGTAATAAACACTCAATTATTGTTTTTATATTATTTTCAATTCAAATATTAATGCATTTAGAAATTCAAATGGATTTAAGGTTTTCTAAAGTGATTTACAGTGAAATTAATTGTTTATAAATTGATAAATCAAATCAATTAGTCTTACATTTTTGTCCACTTTTCCAATCATAACATTATGTCATGTAATCATTGCTTCAATTCATTTAATCATTACTTTTATTAATAAAAATTGTTTAATTAAACAAATAATTATTTAAATTCACTT